TGGAGGCAATGTATGAGGATATATCACGAGCCATACATTCCTCCAAAACTCAATACATGGTGTTAATGGGAGACTTCAACGCAAAACTGGGCAAAAGGAAAGACGATGAGCTGTGAGTAGGAAGATTTGGTATAGGGCAACGGAACCCAAGGGGGCAGCAGCTGGCTGACTTTATGGAGAAGGAGGGACTCTTTATGATGAACTCCTTCTTCAAAAAGCAGCTCCACAGAAAGTGGACCTGGATTAGCCCCGATGGTTCTGTAAAAAACGAGATAGACTTCATTATGACGAACAAACGGCAAATATTCAATGATGTCTCTGTGATCACAAGGGTGAAGACCGGCAGTGATCACCGATTGGTGAGAGGCACATTGAATATTAATATCAGGCTGGAAAGATCTCGTCTAATGAAGTCCACACTCCGACCATCTCGTGCCCATATCCAGAACTCCGAAAGCTTTCGGCTCGAGCTACATAATCGCTTCCAATGCCTAGAAAATTGCAACACTGTGGACGATATTAACGCTAAGCTCGTGGAAACTGTCCATGCCGTGGGCCTTAAATTTTATAAGGCCCGCCGCACAAATAGAACGCAAAAACTCTCCGATCACACTCTTAACCTCTTGGGAAAAAGACGTGAGATGCGACTGCAGTCTTTAACTGACATGTCAGACTACAGGCGGCTTAATAGGCAGATCTCCAAATGCATGCGGCGAGACTTACGCATCTTTAATACAGCTCGTATTGAGGGAGCTATAGAGCGGAACCTAGGCTCAAAAGTCTTCGCCAGAGATCTGTCTATCGGACAAAGCCAACTGACTAAGTTGAAGACTGACAGCGGGGCTGTCATCTCCAGTAGACCAGAGGTTTTGAGTGAGATTGAGAGGTTCTTTGGACAGCTGTACACATCGTCGTTGGAGCCACACACATGTGTGAGTTACGACCCAAGAGCAAAGCTTATCCGACACTATTCAGAGAATATCCCGGACGTCAGTCTGAGCGAGATTAGAATGGCTCTCGACCATCTTAAGAATGGCAAAGCATCGGGAGAGGACGGAGTTACAGCAGAGCTTCTGAAAGCGGGTGGAGAACCGGTACTTGTAGTCCTTCAGAGGCTCTTTAATTTCGTCCTTCAGGGTGGTGCTACACCAGAGGCGTGGAGCAGAAGTGTGGTGGTGCTGTTCTTCAAGAAAGGCGATAACGCTCTCTTGAAGAACTATAGACCGATATCCCTTCTGAGCCGCGTCTATGTGCTGTTCTCAAGAGTCATCTTGAATCGTCTCGCTTCCAGACTCGATGACTTCCAGCCTCCCGAACAAGCCGGATTCCGGAAAGGCTTCAGTACCATAGACCACATACACACCTTGCGGCAGGTTATACAGAAGACCGAAGAGTATAATCTGCCTTTGTGCCTAGCGTATGTGGACTATGAGAAAGCCTTCGATTCTGTCGAAATTTGGGCGGTACTCCAGGCTCTTCGGCGATGCCAAATTGACTGTCGGTATATCGAAGTGCTGAGCTGTTTGTATAACAAGGCTACGATGTCCGTCCAAGTACAGTCCAGTAGTACAAAACCTATCCATCTGCAGAAGGGTGTAAGACAGGGTGATGTCATATCCCCGAAACTCTTCACCGCTGCGTTGGAAGATGTTTTCAAGCTTCTGGACTGGAAAGGACGAGGTATTAACATCAATGGCGAATACATCACCCACCTTCGATTTGCCGACGATATAGTCATCATGGCAGAATCGCTGGAGGACCTGGGTGCTATGCTCAATGACCTCAACAGTGTCTCCCAACGGGTGGGCCTTAAGATGAACATGAACAAGACGAAGATCATGTCTAATGTCCATGTCACGCCTATACCAGTTGTTGTTGGGAGCACTGAGCTCGAAGTTGTTGACGAGTATGTTTACCTAGGACAGTTAGTCCGGCTAGGTAAGTCCAACTTCGACGCAGAGGTCAATCGGCGAATCCAACTCGGATGGGCTGCGTTCGGGAAACTTCGGCAAATCTTCTCGTCGAATATACCTCAATGTTTGAAGACTAAAGTCTTCAATCAATGTGTGTTGCCAGTGATGACCTACGGAACCGAGACGTGGTCCTTCACTGCTGGCCGTATGAGGAAGCTCAAAGTCGCTCAGCGAGCTATGGAGCGGGCTATGCTCGGTATTTCTCTGCGTGATAGAGTTCGTAACGAAGACATCCGCAGTAGAACCAAGGTGACCGACATAGCTCAGAGGATTAGCAAGCTGAAGTGGCGATGGGCCGGCCATATAGCTCGTAGAACCGATAACCGTTGGGGACGAAAGGTTCTCGAGTGGCAGCCTCGTACTGGCCATCGCAGTGTAGGACGACCCCCCACTAGATGGAGTGACGACCTGTGCAAATGTGCGGGAAGTCGATGGATGCAGGTGGCTCAGGATCGTACTTCGTGGCAGTCTATGGGGGAGGCCTATGTTCAGCAGTGGACTCAAACAGGCTGAAATGATGATGATGATGAACAAACTGAACAGCCGAAATACTTCGCAAGAACGGTCTGCGACTAGTGGTCTATCTAGACGATTATCTGCTGGTACACCAGGACAGAGACGTTTTGGAAGCTCAAGTAAAGTAGGTTGTTGTCGAGATCTAATATACAAACCACGGTATCACAGTGTTTGCTGCTCCCGGCGTAAGCATCGTCTCCACTGCGTATTCGGCTCATAATGGCATCGAATTTATTACTGTCGAAACTGGGAACTGCACTATAACTTCCGTGTACAAGCCTCCTGGGACTCTTGTCCAAATCGACCCTCCAGTAAATTTTAATAACCAAGCTGCCAAAGTAGTGATCGGTGACTTCAACAGATTCTGACCCATAATCCCGGCAAATTATCAGCCCCTTAATTTTAACAGCGGCCAATAGAAAAGAGAGTATATCCCAGACTTAATCTTTATTATGTCTTTAAATTAAAATATGTAGAAAAAGTGCGAAGAGATTGTCGCCGCTGTGGAAATCGAACCCACGTCTTCGGCATTCGCGGCCTGACGCTCTAGCCACTGAGCTAAACGGCTGATTGCCACACCGACGAAAATCATAACGCATTCTTCTACATTGTTTTCTTAGCATTTGAAGCAATCCTTGGCGCCATCTATTGTTGTATCCTTTTCAGCATACAAACAATTTCGAATATCGTTTTACAACGATAATTCGAACGAGAGATGTCGCCATTGCTTTTTTAGAAATTTAATATTGTTTATAGTGCTAATCTTTGCACTTAAGATTGAACATTAAAATATGTAGAAAAAGTGCGAAGAGATTGTCGCCGCTGTGGGAATCGAACCCACGTCTTCGGCATTCGCGGCCTGACGCTCTAGCCACTGAGCTAAACGGCTGATTGCCACACCGACGAAAATCATAACGCATTCTTCTACATTGTTTTCTTAGCATTTGAAGCAATCCTTGGCGCCATCTATTGTTGTATCCTTTCCAGCATACAAACAATTTCGAATATCGTTTTACAACGATAATTCGAACGAGAGATGTCGCCATTGCTTTTTTAGAAATTTAATATTGTTTATAGTGCTAAACTTTGCACTTAAGATTGAACATTAAAATATGTAGAAAAAGTGCGAAGAGATTGTCGCCGCTGTGGGAATCGAACCCACGTCTTCGGCATTCGCGGCCTGACGCTCTAGCCACTGAGCTAAACGGCTGATTGCCACACCGACGAAAATCATAACGCATTCTTCTACATTGTTTTCTTAGCATTTGAAGCAATCCTTGGCGCCATTTATTGTTGTATCCTTTCCAGCATACAAACAATTTCGAATATCGTTTTACAACGATAATTCGAACGAGAGATGTTCGCACTTTTTCTACATATTTTAATGTTCAATCTTAAGTGCAAAGATTAGCACTATAAACAATATTAAATTTCTAAAAAAGCAATGGCGACATCTCTCGTTCGAATTATCGTTGTAAAACGATATTCGAAATTGTTTGTATGCTGGAAAGGATACAACAATAGATGGCGCCAAGGATTGCTTCAAATGCTAAGAAAACAATGTAGAAGAATGCGTTATGATTTTCGTCGGTGTGGCAATCAGCCGTTTAGCTCAGTGGCTAGAGCGTCAGGCCGCGAATGCCGAAGACGTGGGTTCGATTCCCACAGCGGCGACAATCTCTTCGCACTTTTTATACATATTTTAATGTTCAATCTTAAGTGCAAAGATTAGCACTATAAACAATATAAAATTTTTTATTATGTCTTCCAACAGCTCACAATGTGTCAAAAGTGTGTGTCCACCCATACCCCGTACTCAGCTCAGGCCTATAATGTGTGTGGTACAGCCTACAGTCCGACCCATTAATGTTCCATTCATACGTAGATTTTACGTCGACAAAGGTACTTTTTGTGCATTCCATCAATTATGGACCCGCCTACCCCGCTTACCGGAAAACCGTTTTATTGAGATCGTATCGACCACTTCTCGATATTGTATTCCTGGGTGTTGCAGGATCTCCTACATCCCGGAGCTGTCGAAGGATTCAGCTGAACTACTAGGGCTATACGAGTCGCTGTATAACTCACATCGTTTCTCAGAACGGACTACGGGAAGAGAAAAGAAGAGAAAAGAAGAAGTAAAACAGACCCCGGTACAAGCACCAGCTTTCAAATAAAAAAAAGAGTCATCAAAATCTGTTAACTCAGTCAAAAGTTATGATGTAACAAACATAAGAAAAAAATATACAGTCGAATAGAGAACCATCTCCTTTTGAAGTCGGTTAATACAAAAAAGATATTGCAATAAAACTAGCGATTACCGTTATACCTGTTACGTATTTAAAATTTGAAGTGTTGATTAAGTAACAGCTTACTAAGGACCAAAATATAAAACAAATTTAAAAACAAATAAATTTGTAAATTATATTAAATATTTGTATATTATGATAAGTTTACATTTATGTAATAAATTTTTATTCAACTCATTAATTTTAACCATACTGTATATCAATCGAAACTTAATGTTCTAAATGTGCCCGCTATGCCCATGTATTCATCGTTGAGTTTGTCTGCCTGTCTGTACTTTTCATTAGTTGCGGCTCCTCTCATTTCTCGAAAGTATTCTTGGAATTCATTTGAACTTAAAATATTCACCCATTGTTCTGAAAGTTTAAAATTGGGATTTAGTATAGCATCGTAAAAAGTAGATATTTTTAATTTACACAATCAGTCAGTGTACAATTTATTATCAACTAGCTTTTCGCCCGCGGTTTCGCTCGCGTTCAAGCCCTTAATATCTTATATTATATATTATATACTATATATATATATGTGTGTGTGTGTGTGTAATATTATTAATATATAATTATAGATGTCTTTTCTCAGGCTCTAAAATATCTGTGTACCAAATTTCATTTAAATCGGTTCAGTAGTCTTTGCGCGAAAGTGAGACAGACAGACAGAGTTACTTTCGCATTTATAATATTAGTATGGAAGTATGGATTCTTCGTTGGGTTGCATGATGACAGTACTCTTAAGTCCTCGTATTTGCTTGTATAAGAAAACCTGGTCGGGTTATCTGATACATAGTACTATTGTTTCACAAATGAGTAGGCGCGTACGAGTAATTACTATCGCCTCAAGGAAGACTCGGGTACATAACTGTATTTCTTCTGAGGACTGTGGTAACCGATGTTTACGTAGGTGAACCGCATTCACGTTCACTGTCATTGTAACTGCTACGCTGTAGATTAAACACATTTCGTTGTATATGTATAATATTATAATGTATACTGTGAGTTTTGACCACGGCAGCGTTATATTATTATAGCACAAATGTGTTCGCATCTTTATAATATTCATAACAGTATTTAACTTTGTAAAGCACTACTATTTGAAGGGTGATCTTTATCAAGCGTAGTGCCATTTATTTTAAAAATTTACTTCAACATTACAGAACGCATTTTTATGTGGAATTTAAAGGTTATTTTTTTTAAATATGAGAGTATTTTTACGATGGCACACCGACTCACAAAAAGCGACAAAAAAGCGGTTACAAAACTCCACAATTGCAACCAATAACAACTTTTTAATTCAACAAATCATCAACAAGCTTCGTACGTGCGTACATAAGTAAACATACACTTTTTTTCAACAACAACAACAACAAAATTAAATTTAAGATTAGATTTAGAAAAACAACAAATTCTTTCGAATTTCAAATAAACAACAAATTCTTTCGAATTTGTTGTTTTTCTATGTCTGTATGTAATGTAATTACCGTGAAGTTCAGCAATCGATCTCTCGTTTCCTCCATACTCAACTGGTAAAACATCTTTTGAAACCACTTTGTGCAGGGATTCGTAGTTGCTATGGATTTGTATTCGTTCACCCAGTTTTGCGGTGAGAACTTGTTTGAATATTGCGACTACTGTTTCGACGGCTTTTGATGGAGTTATAATATGAATTCCTTTAATACGCATTCCATATCCTTCCTAAAATATGTATATTTTTTTAAATGACAATATTTTCGTGCGAAAAGTGTTTGAATACTAAAACTGTTTTGGGTTGAAACTCGAAAAACATTGTGTTAATTAAAAGTGATAATTTGTTAATAAATAATCAGAAACTATTTATTTCCAAAAGATGAAAATTCTAATAATGAATATGTAATAATGACGCTACTTGTGCAGACACTTGGGCTGCCTGCCGGCGTCGGAGGCAGCTAAAGTAAGTAAATGGCGCAAATATGAGTTTTTATGTTTAGATTATGTGTTTGTGCCATTTGCTGTTGAAACTTTAGGTCCGGGGGGTCCCCGCACATAAATTTTTTTTAAAAGTTTATGTCCTAGGCTTAACGTCGCGACTGGTCATAAGAGAGCCGGGTCTTTTGCTCGATCAAAGGTTAAGCAGAACTATTCAGCGAGGAAATGCAGCTAGCGTTCTTGGCACCATGCCGCGTGAATAAGGTTTATTAGATAATATGTAATTTTAGATAGATTTAATCTTGTACATATGAAATCAATAAACTGTATGGTTTTCAGTACAAAAAAAATGAAAAAGCAGTTAAATAAATAAGTAATCCAGTTATATCCAGCCAAACAAGGAATATCAATGAATGAATAGTACGATTAAAAACTAACTTAGTTTTTCAAAGATATATGGTTACTTAAAAGCTTCCTATCAAACTGAAAATATAACAGCGTTTCTTTTGTTCCATTTTAAAATCTTTTTTGTCTTATATGAAATAACGACTTACGAACTACACTTTCAGTTTCAAAACCGTTAAGTTTATTTTTATATATATTAAACATGTACATAGAAACTGACGGTACTTACGATTAGCATAGTAATTGCTTGTCGAAGTTCTACAACATCTAATTTCTTTATAAGTTCAAACAGATTAGTGTGTGTATAATCCAGTATTATGATCATACCTTTCATGTAATCATGTGCAATGATGTATTCGGCAATCTAAAAAAAATGCTGATATACAAATGTTTATAAAAAAATATCACAAATATCAAAATACGAATTTTCATTAAATCTTCAAGATTGCAGCTGTCGGTTTTTTGAGAATAAATAAAGGTTATTGCGCAAAAGAAGATTGAAGATCCAGACAATGTGAAAGAAGGGCATTGCATTATAATCAGTGTTAAATTAAATGAAGCAGAAGAGGCTTAATACTGCATTGCGTGCATTTTATCTCGACTTTATTCATAGATATAGATACATAATATTATTACATTTAGGTAATATTTCTTTTTTAGGAACATATTAATCACTTATAGACATTAGGTGAAATAATTTACAGCCTACGAATATATTTAAACATTATTTTTAAGATAACAAGTCAATTTTTTTATTAAGCAAAACAAAACCGACTTCAAATATTTAGCTCTGTATTCATTTGATAATTAATTTTCAAGAGTTCCCTTGTATCTCCGGAGCCCAAGATCCAATACCAATGAAATTAATATGCCTTCAGTCACATCTTCGAAATATATATTTTTTTTGTTCTTATTTCGAAAATATGCAGGTTTTCTCATTATATTTTCCTATACCGTTTCTTCCACCAGAGCACGTGATAGGTCAGCACTCAAAATTTAAATTTCACTGGGAATCGAACTCAGGTTGCTAGAGTATATTGAATTAAGGCGAGCGCCCGGATGCTGAGCTATCACAGCTACTAAATAAAAAAGTAATGTAATATTGTATCAATTACTTCTAGAGTCAACAGACAGGGGTCCCATGCTTGTATAAATTTTCTGCTGTCTAGTTTTACGAAAAAATAACCTCAATTGTCCACCCTACCTAGTAAATTAATCTTTAGTTGATATTTCTATATTTTACAGCATTATATTTTACAAAGTCATAGTCTACTGCATTTTTTGTATTCCAGCAGAATATTAAGGTACTACATTCATATGTTTCCCAAAAGCGGTATATTTGCATAATCTTAAGATAGTTTTCACCAAAGTTAAAGTTTACAAGAATTACAGAATTTTATAGGTTTAAGATTAAATGAAAGTTCACGGGTTCGATATTATGCTGACAAAATCGCAGGCGAAAATAAAGACATTACAAAACCTTAGCTTTAAACTTAAATTTCAAAATTCCTATTTTTACAATGGTTTAAATAAAAGTACTCCTGTACTTTTATCTGCATCATTGCCAAAATATCCTTTTGATTTAAAACAAAACAAAATCAACATTTAATAAGATACTGTTACATACTCGTAAAGCACTTACCAAAATAATGAAACGAAAATAATTAGTCATTCCGTTCACAAATCTTTGGCCAATGTTTCTTAGTAAGTAAATTCTATAATGATCTTCAGTAAGCTTGGGTAATACAGCATCAAGTCTGAAAATTGAAAATAGCAAAAATTGTAGCTACTTAAACTTATTTAATACGGTATTGTAATGAAACATTTCAAACGTTATTTTCGTTTTTTTTCGATTTTCAAACTACAAAGTTACAATAATATTAATTCAATTAGTAAACATTTAAAACCAAGAAATGTCACTTACAAAATACTTGAATCCTTATAATCAGTCTTTAAATTGATTGTTTCATAGAAAGACGGCATTAGAGTTTTAAGCGTACAGTTTCGGTCCAATTTCTTTTTCGCTCGCTCCACTGAGCCTTTACAAAAAATTATTTTTCTTTCTAAATATTCTCTAGCTGAAATTGTTAAAATTCAATGAGTGCATAGGTTGGAAATATCTATTTTTTATTTAAATCTTATATTAAAGCAAACACTATATTGTATTAAATGAAACTGTTTTATAAAAAAATTTACTGTTTAATTAAAATCACATGCAATTAAAATTATTATGTAATAAATCCGTAAATTTATAAGAGGTTTTTATAAAGTTCTTATCTATATATATATAACTATATTTGAAATAAAAGTACGCCTTGAAAATACATAAACTGCTCCAACAGATCAAAGATATGATAAAACTCAGTGAAATAATTTTATACACCAATCTATTTAACGGTAAACACGTTAGGTGAAGCACAAGAATAATTTAGAAAAAATGTGTATGCTTACAAAAATCTTTCTTAATAAAATGGTTCTGCTTCTTCATCCATTCCTCTAAACCATCAACGGCTTGATCCACTAGTCCCGGTTTATCCAAATCATATTCCTGCCGAATGCTTTGAAGTGCGTCTTCAGAAAACTCAAGAATTTCATTTTTTGGTATCGATTCCATGACAAGAAGCTACTTAACTAATCGAAGGCATCAACGAAACTGACTGTAGCGTTATAATTTTCCTACACAGTAGTAACAAAACTAGTTTTTTGATTTTAAATATCAAAACTTGCCAAAGTTTTAACCGATTATTCAAATTGATGCTAAGTTACTGTAGATTTTAATAATTGTTCTGTTTTTATTCTATGTAATTTAAAATATGAATATATTCTAAAACATTTAAGTATTTTTTTACGTAATTTCCTTGATAAGAGATAATTTATGATGGAGCTGAGAAACTTTGAAACGTCCGATGAAAAAAAATCTTATGCTGCTTACTGCTAATACAAAAGTAATTAAACTAAAAAGTATGTGTATGTACGCACGTGAGAAGTAAGTTCTTTAGCGTAAAACTGTTAATGCAAGCAAATAGCACTGGTCTTTGTTCGTGAAAAGACATTCAATGCTATTGATAAAGGTTTAATTAAATAAATTGGACTTGTAGCTAAAGGTCGAAAAGTTGTTTTGTAATACCGTGAAGTCACTTGTTTTGCAACCGACTTCATCATGTCACCTTTTGGCTGTCGGTGTGCGCTCGCATCGTTAAAACTTTTACGTTCGTATTTTTTTCCAAACTTGTATTTGTATGTTGCGCTTTCAGTCCTTAGTCTATTAAAGCTTCATCTAAGGCAGAACCAGTGGGCTTGCCAGGTTTGAGGCCATCCTCAGTGGGAAGGGCCACGCATGTTCTCATGTTTGCGTAACATGTCACCTACGGGCCATCGAAGTTCGGTGCAGCCGTGTCCCCAATGGCCTTTTACTGGGCTTGTTTAGTTGGTGGCTGAGGGCGGTGAGAACCGCCCTTCAACGCGGGTGTACCTAGTGTACGCGTTGTGTTTATTTCGTCGTGCTCGAAGGCGCGGACGAACTATGGTTTTTGTTGATGTGCTACCTGATTGTGTAGTGTTATTTGGCGGGACCCCCGACGGTGGGCCGACGTACTTAAGTCCCCTTCCTTCGCCAAGTCAGTGAGGACGTTGCGCGGGCGACGCTTGTTGATGTTCGCGTTAGTGTCGGGTTGGTAATTTGCTGCGCTTACCACCAGAGGATTGGGATGATGTTTTTCCAAACACGCCAAAAGAAGTATTACATCAAATAAAATCATCGACTTCAATAACTGGAAAAGTTTTCCTAGTCGGATACTAATATTTTTTATTCACCTCAATATATTTATAAATATTTTAACACACATTTTTAAACAACGTTATGCAGTCCCACACTAAGCAACGCTTGTACTGTGAGTACTAGATAACTGATAATCATATTTAAACATGCTTTTCTTCCGGCGTGCCTTACCTGTAGGAGAGGGGAGTTGCTCCCCGGAAGGGGGCTGCTGAGGCAGCCAGCGTTGGTAGGGTCACGAAAGTGTGCGAAAGTGTTCCCGTGGCCCTACTGATATGCACATGTGGAACATCGTGAAGCTTTTAGTTGGTGCGAGTTCGACATAGTCTGTTCTTATGGTATTGTATGCTTATGCATTTCTATGGTCATAGTTCGTTATTATGGAATGCGAAAGAAGAGACAGCACTGTACGACATACCCGAGGAACTACGGGTGACTACTCAGCATATCTAGGCTTTTTTAGGTTTCCGCACCCAAAGGGTAAAACCAGGGTGAAATTTTCATAGATGATGTATTTCTGTTGCCGCTATAACAAAAAAACTGTAGAAAACCGAATAAATGAATATTTAAGTGGGGCATGACAGTGTGGTATAGGAATACAAAAGGCAAGATCTTTTTGGCAATTTTATAGAAACAGAACCCTTCGTTCGCAATTTGGTCTTCGAATATAGTCTCCACATATCTTTCTATCTATCTAGTTATTGAAATATCATTTAATATAATTTAATCACAGCTTTTGTTCAATTAAGCGTTATGAGCAACTGTGTGTACAACAAACTAATTTCTACAACTTAATCGCCTAACTTTTTTTTCTTTCAAAATGTAGCATAAATTGAATATCTAATATATTGAGTATCGTCAAATATTTTATAATTGATATAAGTCCCGTTATCAAAAAGGTTGTTATATTAGTAAAATATAATCAAAACCAATATTAGCACTCCGTTATAGTGTGGGCAGTAAAGTACTTGACCGCTTAATATTAATCATCTATACAAAGAGACTGAGGCAAACGTACAAAAAGTAGAATCAAGGACATGGCCACGGAGTCTCAAACCTGATTCGGTTTCCTTTTTTTTTTGTTAACCAAACTGGATTTTTTATTAATCGAGCCTACGGCTTGGAAAAGAAAAGCCATTGACCAGAGAAGTACCGGGGAAAGTAATGCAGCGGAAGATTTTGCACCATCTATTTTTTTTACAGTTAGGCCTTGTTTACAAAATTTAGAATTTAATAAATACAGTTAAGTTTGCAGTATTATAGTCCAAAAGAGCCTGGAGCGATCGATTATTCATTTCCAGAGTTTGTTATCATTTAAATATACATAAATATTATAACAGCGTTTGACCCACAAACGTTCTTTTACAAAAAAAAATATGGGTTTTGTTGAAGAAACGTATACGTGCGTAAACGTATAACGTATATCATAAAAAATTGACTTATTCTACGCAATCTACTAGTTGATAGTATAAATTCATATTTACTCCTTGTAATTATATCATGCACATTAGTGCATGATATTAATATATCTTGAAAATTCATCTCTCAATTCGAGTATTTTTTCTTTTTTTATGTTTGTTACCTCAGAACTTTCGACTGAGTGAACCGATTTTATGATTATTTTTTTATTTGAAAACCATGTGTGGTCCCATTTCAATTTGGTCCAGTTCTGACTCCATAAATTGTTAAAATTTGTTAATGTGAGGTAAGAGTTAACCTACCTAAGGTTAGATTTTCAAGATTTGATTACTTTAAATTTATTTATTTATTTATTTATTTATACTTTATTGCAATTACCTTAATCAAGGATTACAAAGGGCGAACTTAATGCCTTTAGGCATTCTCTCCCAGTCAACCCGGGGCGTGGAGATAATTTGTGGTAGGTGCAATAAAAAAAAAAAAAAAACAAGTAAATTACTAATGTGAACGAAATATACAGTGTATGGAATATACACACGCTTAAATAAATATAAATACTTACATATTATACATAAAAATATTAACATACATGTATATATATATATATATATATATATATATATATACATATAAACGATATTGAAATAATGATGAAATTAAATTTAATATTTTTTTAAACTTTTTGGTGCTAATACAGTTTTTCGCTTTTTTTTTTGTTGGTTGCATACAAAAACTTTGCAATAAGTAAAGTCAGTCAGTCGTTTTTTTTACACATTTTAATAGTATTTGGTTCCTAATTAAGCAAAGCTTGTGTTACGGGTAACCATAACTTTACTTAGTATAGACATTAAGTATGTTACAATACATTTTTTGTAAAAAAATATTGCATATTATATATTTATACTAACTGGCGACAGACGTTGTCCTGTACACACGTCTTGAATCCGAAAATTTCAAACTTTTTCAATAATTTTGTGAATCTACACCATTCTCGAATCGACCTGAAGTCACACAAAAAAATTTCAAAACGATATTCGAAATTGTTTGTATGCTGGAAAGGATATAACAATAGAGCGCCTAGCATTGCTTCTACATTGCTAAATAACAATGTAGATAAAAGACGTTAAGATTATCGTTGGTGTGGCAATCAGCCGATTAGCTTAGTGGCTAAAGCGTCAGGCCGTGAATGCCGAAGACGTGGGTTCAATTCCCATAGCGGTGACAATCTTCTCGTATTTTTCTACAAGTTTTAATTGAAAAAAATCATTAAAATCGGTCCAGCTGTTTAGGAGCAGTTCAGTGACATACACATGTACAGAAGAACAATATATATAAAGATATACACCGCGAAAGCTGCATCAACATTATATTCATTGCAAAACATAACCTTAGTCGTAAGAGACAGGTTCACTCTGCACTAATGTATTCGGTTCAACAAAATGTACTAAAAACTATTTTTTTTTCATCATGAACTGGTTTCTGATAGTAAGGCCAAGAGACATTTAGCATAAAAACAATAAGACATGAGGTCGGGCTTACTTGTCGGCCAGAGAACGTTCACCAAAAATATATAAGTCCAAATTCGTCGAAATTTTCTTAATCACACCTAAAGTAGTAGGTACTCACAGTAGTACACAGCATGATAATTAACGAACATTGTACGATCACATATTATTATTTAATAGGGTCCCATATAAAAAAGTTTGAACTATCGTTGGACTATGCAACAGTTCGCTGGGACTATACTTGCACGAATTGGCAGGTACGTCCAGGGAAGTACTACGACCTCACAGTTGACCAGTGTAAAGTGGAAATGTTATACTTCTGTTTTTTGTCCGGTAAGTGAGGTAGCCGATTTTTAGATAGCTGAACTAAAAAGCGGTAAATCAAATATATTAAATTCTCGTGTCACGGTCTTGTAATTGAACTCCTCCGAAACGGAGGATATTCGTGATATTTTGTGTGCATATCGGCCAGGGTGGAGAATCTGACAACATCTATTTTTCATCCTCCTAAATGGGTGGTCCACCCCAAATATTTTTTTCTACCCTACAAATTCCTTAGAAATAATTTATACGGCAAGGCAACGTTTGCCGGGTCAGCTTTACAATAAATTAGAGAGATTTTTCTTTGTTAATTACACTATTCTTAATTTAAATTTAAATTAAGAATAGTGTAATTAACAAAGAAAAATCTCTAATAATTGAATGATGAGGTGCTTGGAGTCAATTGTTAAAATATTTTATTGACAGATATTTGTTATATATGTGGCACCGGTGCATGATAGAAAATTTATAAGCAGATGCATATTTTGCTCATTTGATTTTTCTCGTATATAAAACTGAAAACATAATGTTTTTTGGCCTTTGACGATAAATGGATATGATTTATTACAAAGCTTAAACAAATTGTTGTCTAATTAAACTCGTTATAAATCGTGATATATAATTTAATTTCCGTCCACCTCCCACGTAACCGAAAACTATATGTACTCGTATATGTGTGTGTACACGACGCCAATAAATTTGTAATACAAAGACAATGTACCACTTACTCGCATCGCTGCACCCGGCCGTGCACCTAAAATTACCGATAAAAAACTTGATTTTAGAACGACAAAAACTTAAGAACATTTTGTGGAATATAAATAAACTGTTTTAATATTACTTAAATTTTATAATTAACCTTGCCGCAATGTTACTACTGCCACAGTAAAAGTCAATATGAACATTTTCTAAAATTTATTTTCAGTTTTAGTCAATATTAGAGTAAAAAAATTTGTATTGTGCACTTTATCACTTATTACATAACATTATGTAAAGAAATAATAAAAATATTAGAACAGCAAGCAAAATGTCTATCTATTTTATTAAATAAATTATTTAAAGCACGGGCGATTTTAATCGACGGCCAGTTTTCTAAATGATCCAGGCATACCCATGTACTCCTCGTTAAATTTGGAACTGTGCCGATAAGTTTCATCGCTCACCAAACACTCGAATTCCTTTATAATTTTTTTAGCCTCCTCGCCTTGAAGTACGTGTTGCCATTGCTCTGAAATAAATTAAAATTGAAAGTGTTAATCTTTTTATGAATATACTTATTTATGGCAACACCACCACAGACCGTTAAATAACATATATTTGATTGGTACAGATATCACATTTTCGATATTTTAATCGTATCGGATTTTTTAGTATCGTTAAAACATTTTCCAAGTTATTAGTACCTCAAATATAATATTGATTTGCGAAACATTGATAGTTCAGTTTGTTTTAACATATTATTAATGAACTGTTTCTTACGGATTTGATCATGGTTATTTCAAATGTCCCAAATTCAATGCCTTCGCTAGAATTCAATTGATACCTACTCTCTGTCTTGCCACCGTCAGTTATTAAAATTATTACTTTTGGTTATTTATTTTATTTACACGACTACACGCTACTAAATGAAACTATTTTCAGTTAACTATAAATACGTATACATAGACGACTTTCCTAGACGTTTTGGTTATTCGCAATCCAAATAAAACTTTAAGCACACATGTGTATAGAAAGGCAACTCATAAAAACAGATAGCTAAATAGTGACTCACCACCAGAGAGTGAAACCGACTGGTTTACAATGGAGCGAGTACCTGCTGTTTTAGAATATAAAAAAAATAAATATTTTAGGTCACATTTTTACACAACTAAGCAACGCTTGTACTAACGGTCGTACCCATAGTTCACAAGCGTTGCTTGATTTGGGGTAGAGTATTTAGTTAAAATTATGAATAAACGCGATAAATATTTATACTTATCGCGTTGGATATTTTATTTATTTTTAATTTTGTGTAAAATGTACTCAAAAAGTGTTAAATTTAAATCTTACCCTTTACAATACTCGTGTGCTTGGACATGTATTTAATTTCGATAATTATGGGATCCTATGCGCATGGTTGCGTCTGACACCTGAGTTCATCATGTGGCCTTGAATACTGCAAAACATATAGTCTAGTTGCCGAGCAAAATGAATTTCGTATATTGTCCGTCTCTTAAGACAGTAGTCTGTAGTCTTAGATGCAATAATCTGTGCGAGATGTAATAAGATTTCAGATTAACTTTCGAAATTCTTCCTAGTCCCACAAACGAACCATACAAAACTTCAAGAATGTAAGTTAATAGACAAAACGTGATGAAATCCATAAAAATAGTTTCATTTAAAACGTGCACTTTTCGTACGTAAATACTTGTATATGAAACGATTGGCTTGTTCAGAGATAGTTTAATTGAGATGTAAAACTTTGGGTTAAGTTACGTAGCGTAAATAGCTTTTGCTTATTGTAAGTATTATACTTTGTATAGGTAGACAATTCATCAACAACAACTCTCAAGTCTTAGATGGCGATGTGAGTCGGTAATCTCTATCATTAGGTGAACTTCCCCGATCCTTTGCCAACTTTTCACGTAAAAAATAACCTGCAACTTAATTTTTACAAATTGTTTAACTAATTTATTTATTGTTTGGATAGTAGTTGGGTATAGTAGCACCGTATTCGCTTAGCGTCAGTTTTTACCAGGGATGTCGAAAAAATATTACTATATCGATATTTTTAGCCGATATATTTGGGATCCGATATATCGATATAAATATTCAATATCGAAATCATAATTATCAAAAACGATGTTTTTTTTTTTCAAATATGAATCCGGCACAGGGACCGTACATGTCAAATATTTAATACTTGACATACCTTTTTGGATTTTTTTGACCACGGGTCCCAAACAGAAAATATCGATATATTGATATTTTCTCTTTGATATATCGAGGCCGATATTGATATTTTTATAAATATCGATATATCTTTATATTTTTTCACTTTCGACATCCTTAGTTTTTACATTTTTAATTATCTTGACCTCGGTAAGAACAAGAATTTGACGCTTCCATGCGTTAAGTTATAACATTTTTAAGTTCCAAGGTTGAGACACTTGCTTATTTGCCGATGTAGCCTCGTGGTTGCGTAGGTTAAAAAAGTAATTAAGGATGTAATGCAATAGTCAACATAAAATATAAGTAGCCTGCAGAATTTTTATCACAAAAATAAGTACGAATCATAATATAACTTCATTCTACAGATATAAATTCTTGTATTTTCGCGATCATACATTAATAAATGAAACTATGTTTACGGATTTATCGCGTTTATTTTAGTTTTAATTACCGACGTTTCGAACCATTTACAGTTTACAGCGTTCATGGTCACGGGACAGACAGACGTTGGACGTCTGAGTATCATTGTTAATACGGGCTACCGCCAGTTTCTAAATTTTTGTGTAGATCTATGCAGGACATGCTATTTTTTTCTTTTCTTGCATTAGTGGTTCGTTTGAGTCTAGATTTAATTTTTATAGCTATATTATTATGTTATTCTACAAATATTAAGAAAAAAATGTATTTTTTAAAATGATAAAAATCTTAAAAATACATTTTAAAGAACCCTATATGTTTTTCAAGAGGATGACATCTTTCAGGATTTAGGATCGTTCAGCTGCGTGGTAGCAGCAGCAGCCTCGTATGTAGCACGAATGTACAGGCTCGTCCGGGTAAGTACCACGACCTCACAGAAGACCGGCGTGAAGTGAAAGTACAATACTTTCGCGTTTATTCTGGTGAGTGACGTGGCCGGAGCCCAATTTTCAAAAGGTTGCCAATGCATCTGGAACCCTCAGGTGTAGCAGATGTCCATGCCATGATGTCCATAATGTATCGGCCAATATCAGGTGAACCGCTATGGCTGGTATTCTTTATTGATTATTGATGACCCGAATGGCGTAGTGGGTAGTGTACCCACCTTCTGCGCCAGAGTGTGTGGGTTCGATCCCCACCACTGGAAAAATATTGTGCGATGACCATAGTATTTTTCTAGTGTCTGGGTGTATAATATGTATTTATTTACAAAAAAAAGTATGTTTAAGTATGTCTATCAGTTTTCTAGTACCCATAGTACAAGAGTTTGGGACTAGAGAAAAGAAAAGACTAGATAACGTTGTGTAAAAAATGTGTCCTAAAATATTTATTTATTTATTCTCTTATCAACAGTAATTTTTTTTGATGTCAGTTATTATTTGGGTCATTAATTTATTTCCAATACATTTTTCCAGTACGGACAAAATTTATTGTATATTTCTTGAAATGAATATATCGTTAACACAATTTTGACATTAATAAATATTTATTCAAGTATAATCAACAAACTTTTTAGCTTATGAAAGGCTTATGGGTTAACGCAGTGGAATTTACCAATGGGATTGTATTTTTTCCAAAAATAACTATTTCTTATTTGTGTCTGGTGTACGGCGATAGGCAATCTGTTCCGCTTGTGATTTAACAACTGTGTCGAAAAATCCTAGCGTCTCTTATGCATGTACAATTTATTTTTGTCACCATATAATTCCTTAAAATTTGAAAATAGTAAATGTTTATGCGTTTATTTCGCTTTTAACATTGTCTTACTTGCTAACTCAGAGCACCATTCTTCATCACCACCATAGTCCTTTGGAAGTATTTCTTTGGGTATATGCTGATGGAGTTCTTCGTATGTACTGTGCACAAGAATTCGGTTGGCAATTTTTTCCTTAAGCGCTTGTTTCATCACGAACACTACTTTATCCACAAACGCTGGTGCGTTTAATATATGAATACCTTTGATTTTCACACCGATTACTTCCTACAAAAACGAAAGATTTACATAAAGTTAGTTGTTTGTTTTCAAGGAGTCATAATAACTGACATATTATAGTTATCAGTTAAAGTAAAAAAGATAAAATATTACAGAAACAATTTTTTATATAGTAAAGTATCAGCCTATACATATCCTACTGCAAGACAAAGGCCTCCTCTGTACAGAGGGTATCAGGGTAGTTCACCACGCGCGGATTGGTGGACTTCACATATCTTCGAAATATTATTATTATTTCTAAAATATGCAGGTTTCCTCACGATGTTTTCCTTCACCGCTGAGCACGTGATAATTCAGCACTTGAAATTAACAATTTCATTGGTGTCGGCACCGGGGATCGAACTCAGGTTACTCGAGTATATTGAATTAGGCGAGCGCCCGGACACTGAGCTATCACGGCTCTTGTTTTTGAGATTTGAGATTTGTTATTGAGATGTGATCAATTATTATTTACTCTTCGTACATTTATAATACATTATGATGATTTTCTTTAAATAAAAAATAACTAAGTAAATATGCTGTCAGGCTTCATAAAGGACAAATTTAATAGAATTTGCGCATATAACGAGTCGGGGATAAGTCTTTTCATATTTATGAAGTAACTTCATACAAATAAAAAGTCTTTTTGTATGTATGAAGTTGGAGTAAATCTCTTTGGTTGTACAATGTGTATTCGGCTGCTTTTATTAGACATTTTAGAAGAGAAGAATAGAACGATGAACTCATTTTCCATTTTTCAATTGTTTTTCTGTCGGCCATAATTAACCTATCTAACAATGAAGTTCGAAACATGTTGTCGTTTTATAACAAAAAAAGGGGAAAAATAGAGGCGTTAATGGATCTTACGCAGTGTCACGAAGAATAGAAAATTTAGTTCAAACTTTCCAGTCCGGGAATTTCGGGATGTTTGATGCTCGAAAAGTCGATGCGACTTAAAAAAAAGTGGAGCAAGATCCGCCTATTAGTATTTAAGACGTAGATGAAGAACTGGGCAATTACAATAAAATTTTGATCCATTTGAAGAAGTATTGGTGTTAAAAAGCCGAACGAACCTACTGAATCTTGAACTTATGTGTGATTAAGTCTGTTTAATTGAAACCGATCCATTTTTGAAGAGATTGATCATTGCTCTTACCTCATCACCTACAATACAATAAGAAGGTGCGAAAAAGATTATGGTCAAAGGGCAGTTAAGTTCCACAGACTGTTGCAAAATCTGGATTAACACGCAATAAGTTGATGCTGTATGTAAAGGCATCGTGCATTGTGAGCTTTTACTGCCAAATAAAACCAGCCGATGAAACACAAGAAAGAAATTGAACAAAACTGCTCAAGAATTGGTCAAGAGAAAGGATGTGGTCTTTCATCATGATAACGCCAGATTAAACACACATATTTGGCTACTGAGCGAAAATTGTGAGATTTTTTAGGGAAGTAAAAACGCACCAACCATACAGCACTGACAATTTACCTTCAGATTCAACCTGTTTCGGTCTCTTCAAAATTCTTTGTGTATGTTAATTTTAAAAGAAGGCTGTCAAAACTACTGGTCACATTTTTTGATCATATGTCAAGAAATTTCTGCAGCAACGGGATTATTTCACTTCAACTTACAAAACGGCAATAAGTTATTATAGGTAAACATAATTAAAATTGAAAAAATGTCTGGAATTTATAAAATGTTAAAAAATACGAAGAACCTGACAAATATGTACTTTTACTTTTAGATTGTCAGCTTAAATAGTAAAAGGAAGAATATTAATATTAAATACAAGTATTATGTCACAATTACATTTATTCAATATTCCGTCTTTTCGTGTTCGCTTCGCTTCGTTTCGCTCAATATAAAAATACTTTTGTAACAAGGGAAGTGACAATTTCACTGTAATCAATTTTTAATATAAACATCTTTTGATGTACTAATTTCTTTATAAGAATAAAAGTTATACTAGTTTTATCAATAACTAGGTCACAAGTATGGTGAGTGTGTCTACTTACTGTGCATAATATTTCGGCTTTCTTTATAACAATCGGATTAAGTTTACTTAATATATTTATATTAACTTTTTCCATGTCTATTATGTATCTCTCCGCTACAGTGTTATCATAATTGGTTCTGTATTCTCCTATCTGAAAATAAAGTGTTTGATTATTTTATTCTATTCAACTGCAAAAGATTTTAATAATTAATTTAAATATATTGTATTATTAATGTATATATGAAATTTTTCTTGTTCAAAAAATTGGTTGGATATTATAATTTTACACATACGAAATGTATAAATACTTCAGCAACATTATGGAAAAAAATAAAAAATTAAAAACATTATTAAAGTAACACAAATGTTTTACCATAAAACCGTATCTAAAGTAGCCTAATAATGTAAATTCATCGAGTTTGTCCGTCAAGAACTGTGTGATCATGACCCTGGACTGATCGCTGCGACAAAGTTTTGGAAGCGGTATATAGTTCCTAAAATCATATTAACAATCATCAATTTTACATATCTTAAAAATATAAAATTTTAAATTATACTTATTATATCAGTTTTAAATGAAAAAAAGTTTTAATATGAAGATAATGTGCAATTACCTACATGATATAAGGTAAATAACAACTTTATATTTAAATTTTCAACTTATTCTGCACGTGTACTTTACAGATTTAACTAACTAAGCTTGTCTTAGTAATCTTTAAAAGGCTGAAAAACCATATGTACCCTAATGAAGAACTCAATTTACTCTAATTTAATCTTTAATTCAATATACTCGAGCAATCTGAGTTCAATCCCCGATGCCGGCACCAATGAAATTGTTAATTTTAAGTACCGAATTAACACGTGCTCAGTGGTAAAGGAAACCTTCGTGAGATCATAATATAAAAAAAAATATTTCGAAGATACGTGAAGTCCACCAATGCGCAGTGGGGTACAGAGGAGGCCTTTACCCAGCAGTATATGAATAGGCTGATACTTTACTTTTACTTTTGATCAAATTAGTTTTCACACAATGTTTTTTCCCGTGCGGTCAAACTACTCTAGTAATACAAGTAATATAATAAGTTTGAAATTAAATAAAAAAACCGGCCAAGTACGAGTCGGACTCGCGCACTAAGGGTTCCGGACCAATATCAATAAAAACGGCAAAAAATCATGTCTTAAATAACCGCACTTAAATATTTATTGTTCTGTTTTTTCGTATTTTTTGTGATAGCGGCAATAGAAATACATGATCTGTGAAAATTTCAACTGTCAAATTATCACGGTTAATAGGAATAAGACAGTGGAGTCTTAGTAATAGTCCCGTTTTGTAACCCATTGGGTGCGGAGCCCTAAAAAGAACCTGAGTGTACACGCTAATTAACGTCACTTACTTCAAATTTTGAATTCTTTTGACTATTAAGTTTTTTTTGTTATTATTACTTATTTACGGCTATATGTCAACGTCGCCCATTTACCAATGCGTAGTCTACACCTTAGGTAAAATGTGTTAGTTAAAGTGCTTTTTAAACGCTATATTAGATATAAGTTCACAAAAAATACCTTTTTTCAATTACTTACACACAATTCAAAAGCCCCTCAAATTCTTCATTTTTCCGATTTAACAGTAACTCGGGCATCATTCCGCGCGATGTTAATAACTTATCTAACTTTTGTTTTGTTACTTCGATGGAACCCTTGGAAATCAGAAACAGCCTTTCTAAAACCGTGTGATCTGGAATTTAATAAGGGTTGTGTTAAAAACGTTTTTTTTTTAAATTGCGACTAATAAAAGGAAGACACGCCTGAGAGGGTAAAAAAACGTTTTTTTTTAAATTGCGACTAATAAAAGGAAGACACGCCTGAGAGGGTAAAAAAAGTAAACTAACAGCCTACATAGTATGACCACTACTTAGAAAAGGTCTCCTTGTCCACGCGACCCCAAGGCGGATTGGCGGACTTCACAAATCTTCGCAATATTTTCGAAGTTATACTTCTTTCTGCGCGCTTGGAAAAATATATGAGAGTAAAATTATTGCGATACACGGCACACCGACTGCCAAAAAGCGACACGATAGATTTGGTTGCAAAGTTTTTGACATTTACCTATAATTCATTTAATTAATTCAACCGTTAACACATTCCGCTTAATGTATTTTTCACAAACGTAGACTTATAAAATAATTGTAATTACTTTTCACTTGTGCTTATTATGTAAGCAGTAAGTACACGCATACTTTTTTGTTATAATTTAGACAAATTTAAATTTCTTGAAGATGTTTTCCTTCACAGGTGAACACATAATAAGTTAACTCTTAAAATTAATAATTTCATCGGCAACCAGGATGAAATTCAGGTTGTTCGAGCATGTTGCATTAAAAATTAACGCCCGGATAGTGAGCTATCACGGCTGTTTAGTACTTTATGGACAATAATGATCAAACTATATTCAGGAGGTTGGACTAAATTCATTACACTCCAGCCATTCAGTTTAAATCACACTACGTGCACCAAATAAATTATTTTATTTTTTAGTGAATGACTCCTTGGTATAATAGTTGTAGTTTTTTTTTTCTTTAAATTAACAATTAAATTAACAATTAGTAAATTAACAATTCAGTGCATTTTTTCGAAGATAGGTTCTTAATCATATTGTAGACAGACGTTTATGAAATAAAATTATAATTGTACATCCTGGAGGCTACATTTAAATTTACTACTAAGCAGAACTATTTACCATGGAAACGCAGCTAGCGTTCTTGACACCACGCCACATGACTAGGTTTCTTACTTAGATAGAATTGATGTTGTAAAATGTTGGAGAAATAAATTGTATTGTTCCTATATATGCCTTATATATACTCAAGTTTTATATGTATGCCTTAACAAAAGTAAAGTTTATAAACGTTTATTATTCAAATAATACGTGATATTTTTAATTGCCTTATATTTATCGGAATACATTATATATATTTCGGTCAAAATTTCATTATTGCATAATAAGATGTACCTAACAACTTTTAAGAGCCCAAACCCGTGGGTTCTGGATAGCCCACCGGTTCTGCGTCAGATGAAGCTTTAATAGTCTCGGGAATGAAAGCAAAAACATCAGTTAATACAAGATACAAGATACTTTTGAGATGGATTTTTAGCACTGTGAAATCGCCATTAACTGAGTTCATTTATGAACACCAGAAGCTTTACAACGTTGCCCGCTTACAATACGTCTACTATTTTTTTTGTAACAAGACGTTTATCCAAGGTATAAACCTATATTAATTAAAAAGTCTTTTAAGCATATCAAACGTTCGATAAAAAATATCTTTATTCATAATTGTTTGATAAACCTCCAATAACTAAAATGTCTTTATTGAATGTAATGTAATTTCATAGAAAAATGATGAAATTTGAAAGATATAAGAATGCTTTCATGAGTTTTTATCTATGGATCGCAACAAATAAAAAAATGTAGTATTAGAAGTCATTGCAAAAGTCAGTAATTGCCTGTCCGAAATCGGTCATGTTTTTTTCTAATATACGTTTATCGAAGTTTTATAGTAGATCCTAGCTTGTTCATATCAAAGATACTTTATCGGCGAGTCAATAAACGTTTTAGCGCTATAGACCGATTATAACACTTTTTGACAAACAAATTTTAGCGAGCTTTTAAAAACTTATTATGAATAAGACCGTTAGAGTTATCAATGGTATTATAGTTTTAAAACTAGTGTCAACATCCAAGTATTTTTTTTTTGACAAAATGTTTAATTTAATTATAGTATATTACTATGCTTATGTCACTCCACCGTTGCAAAATTGTCTAATTTTCATTTTTCACATTTTCTTACATGTTAATTTTCCTACTATCTTTAATTTTTTCCGAATATATTGTAAATTTTGAAATCAGTGATAAATTAATATTTAATTCTGATCCTACCTACGGCTACCATACCGCTAATTATCAAGTGAGATTGTATTCATGCCACCGACCTGTTTAAAACTTATAAAAATAGCCGAAGTTTCGAATTCTCTTCATTAAAATGTTTCATTCTTTTTTAAAATGTGCTTTACTTACTTAAATATTTGCAGGAATCTTTGAGATGATCTTGCTTTTGACACCATTCTTGCACCGCATCCAAGCTCTCTTTTAATTTCTTAGAATCATTAACACCATACAGCAGCCGTGTATTCTGTATGTCTTCCTTAGTCACAATTGCCAGCGGGTGATATGGTAATTTTTCCATCCTGAAACTCAAAATTTATATTAATTACAAATTATTTTTCAAAATTAATACAAATTCTTTACACTATTAACTATGCATATTTACTGAAAGCCTAATCTTTGAGCATGAAATATATTTTTTTTTCTCAAAAAAAAAATCTGTTTAAGTTCGAGCGAATGCAAAATTCATTCATAAACTGTCGAATAGTTCTTGCTATATGTATACGTGCTTTAAAAGGAAGATATCCCAATGAAGCCTTCGTAAAGCAACACATTGCCTAAGAGAATGTCTTAAATCTGAATTAAGCGTAATGTATAATATATAAGCTCCGATGATTCGGATGGACATTTCCTTAGAGAGAAAAACCCTCTAAGGAAATGCCCGTCCAAATCATACAGGAACTACTGCTGTACGCAACTGTTTCAGTGAAAGAGAGCCCAAACGACTCTCCCGAACGCCTGTTAAACTAAGCTCTTCACTGCCATGCAGACAAAGAGCTTGTCTGAACTGACATTCGTCAGTGAACAAAACTGAATACCATTGTTAAGCACTCCAATTTTTAATTCTCCAATTAATGTATTATTTATTAATACAAGCAAATTCAAGGCGGACTTGTTGAGCTGAGGTGAATTTTGGGCTCCTGGCAGGCCGTCTTGGTGTCCAGCCCTGTAGTCCCGGGCTCATAGAATAGGGCTAAGGTATTATATGCTTGTCGTAAAAGGCGACTAAAAGGGGACACGGATGTGCAGCAGCACGAAGTGGTCTCGTGCTGCTGCAAGAGGGTGAGGGAATCGGAGCAGGTTTATCCTTCTCCGATTCCGGTATCTTTCGAAGATTTCCCCCTGATACCAAAAAAAAATTATAATAAAAAAAAGAACGGCCGCAGACTTTGGCCGTTGGCTTTTCTTGGGCATGTTCTAACCGTCCCATGATTGACAAGCGCTCCTCGAAACTCTCCTGGCCGCTGCTGGACAGCAACGCCGGTTAATTGTAGATTTCGGAGGCTTTTCGAGACAATAAAACGTTCATCTTCTTTCAGAAGTATGCCGGCACCGACTGATATTTGGCCTTCTAGAGAAGGAGTCAGTCTCCTGAATCTCTTGTGTACTCTCCATACAGCAGATTTGCTCTGGTTTAGTCGGCGAGAAAGTTCCTGCTATTCAAGTCCCTATTGCAGCTATGCAACAACTTGAGCGGCTTCTTCTGGTGCAGTATCCATTTTGTTATATATTCGGCGATCGTATTTTACGGAGGTGTTATTTGGTCAACGATTGATTAGCGACTGATAAGAGTTCATTTTTTTGGCTGGATCAACCACTGTTGGCCTTTGGGGACTTTACTGTGCCACCAGGCTTGAGGTGGCCGGGCGGTGAAGGTGCCTGTCTGTACCTCGATTATGGATGACTAAGCTAGAGGGCGCCCGAGGGGGGAGGACCTCGGCGTGTGCGCGCGACTTGCGACTATCTCATAAAGTAAATTTTCATGCTTACCCAGATGTAATGATATTTTATAAATTACCAGTCATATTACAGTGGTAATTATAAATTTGAAACTTAGACATTAGACTTTCAGGAAATAAGCATTGTTCACTTTATTTGACCTGCATCCCGAAAAACATACTTTGTACATTTTGTAGGCTTGGCTTACAATTAGTTGCAGGCAAGTGTGACTACAGATTGCATTTATTTGCTATTTGTTTGAAGCAATTCCAAAAGTCTTAAGAAAATTCTTAAGAATATAACACAAGAAAATTCTCGATCCATGATTTATTACGATTTTCGTTGTTGTTTTACTCAACAACAAAGCTATGCCGTGCCACAGTTTATAATAGGTTTAATGAATTTACGCTTGGGCGTAGCAATCTCTGTGCGGATGTCCTTTATCACCTATATCTGAAGGTGACATCAGTGCTGTGCGACTCATGATAGAGAAAGATAAGAAAGTCACCTGTCAGCAGATTCGGGGAGTCAGGCATTGGTCTGCATTGACATCAATCACAATCGCTAACATTTTTTGAGTCAAGCACAAAAAATGTTAGCGACTATTTAGGTGTCAAGAAGCTTTAGATGAATGAAGCCAGATAGATTCCAATACTTTGAACAAAGACAAGAATAGCCTTCGCGTGGATTAGTGTCGCAAAATGTTAGAAAAGTTTAATGAAGGCGACCCTAATGCTGTATTTGACATAGTCACAGGTGATAAAAACTGGATATATTGCTACGAACCCGAAATTAAAAGACAATCTGCTCAGTGTGTGTTTTCTTTTGAGGGCCGGCCAACTAAAATAAAGAACTTTTCTTCTTTAAAAAAGTTTCCTGCCCTGTGCTATAGTCGGTAAGGTCATTCCGCGATAGTTGTTCTGGAAAATGGGAGGTTACTGCAGACCGGTATGTTGACTGCTGTTTTCCTGTTATCTTGGAAAATATTTGACAGTAGCGTCCTCGAATCCTCATTCGCTACGACAATGTTTCAGAGCACGCCGCGAAACAAACTATTGAATATTTCACTATGGCAGGTATCGAGATAATGAGTCATTCACCGTATATCCCTGACTTAGCAAACTGCAACCTTCTTTTATACCCAAGAATGAAAGACACACTTCGAGGTATACGCTTTACGAGCCCCAAAGATACTGTGGGTGCAAAAGTTTCGTAGAAGGGACCCCTAGGAAAGAATGGGCACGATTCTTTTCTCTGTCAAAAGGAAAGACGTATGGAGAGTATTGTAATTAATAATTAAAGTAGCAGCAACGTTCTACTTTGAGGCGTTTTATGTATTTTATGTGATTTTAACTTTCAGTGTTTCCACGAACGATTAAGTCATATCGTGTAAATTAATTTTATTTTAGGTTTCTTAGAATGCACACTCATCAAGGGACAAGTTTATATGGCCTTTACATCAACAAGGTAACCTTAACCCGGTCTGTCTCATTGAACTTAATAAAATCTCAAACAACTTCCATTCCGTTCAAGAACGAAGTGTGCCACATTCAAAATAATTAAAACTGACGCACTGCTAAGGTGTTTTATGACTATTAAACACATACATTTATAGACAGTAAGTGTCATACTGACGTCAAAATTGACGTCGATTATCAATATTTTTTGCTAAAGCAACTCTACAGCCTATCTATTTTCATTTTTTTTTTGTTTGGTACTTAAAAGGTACATTATATTCATTATAATATGGTACATAAATATACTAATAAGCTATGGATAGATTGTAAATTTGTAATGTTGTTTATGTAGAGCGTAACTAAGCCAAAGTTTCTGGATTTTTATGAATACGAAAGCGTCGGTTATCACTTAACATTACTTGAACCGCCAGATTGCTTGCCATCTTCTCACATAAAAAAATCTTATTGTTATGAGTATGCCTAATTATACAATTTGTGTTCGTTGGAATCATTATGTGAAGTAGTGAGTCAAGTTTTCACTTGTGACCGGTTTAATTGTTTAATCGACTCCCGCGTTTGTAAATATCATTAAATATAAACTTGGATTTTCGGAAATAAAAAGAAACCTCAAGGTGTGAGGTGAGGTCCGGGCTGTGTGTCAAACGTGTCATTAGTTCCACATTTAATGCTTTCAAATCCCCATTGTTATATTAGCGAAATATGCGGACTGCTTTTGCGAACTTCTAACTCTGGATACGTCATTATTTACGTCACCAATCTGTAGTCCTTGGAAACCAAACGACATCGTAATATATTGTAATGTTTATGTATTTAACATTTAAGACTAGACCGGAGTTGAAACGAAAAGCTACCCAAAAAGCGTTGAAAGAAAGTCTACAATACTGCGTTAGGGCCACGCACCAGTCTGTTGAACGAATTGGCAGGAATCCGTCCGTTTAAGTACCACGACCTCACACAAGGCCATCATGAAGTGGAAGTGTTACACTTTTGCACATCGTCTCGTGAGTGTGGTAGCCGGGGTACACTTTATTGAAAGGTGGCAAAGCATCTGCAAGTTGCAGCGTGCAACCCGTCGGGTGTAGCAAATGTCAATGGACGGTTGTTATCACTTAAAATCGGGTTAACCACCAGCTAGCTTGGCACATTCTCACATAAAAAGACAACACAATGAGTCTGTGAATACTAGTTCTAAAGTAATTATCCACAGACACGAAACAAAAACGTTGATTTCTACAGAAAAAAATCATTAAACTTAGTAATCCCTAAATATATAACTAACTTTAAAAATATTTTGACATTTAATAAAATAGCATAGTGTGCCAATGAGCAAAAAAAGCCAAATGTGTTTAAATGAAGATAAACCGGATGGTCGAAATATGGTCAACTATATAAATGATAAATTTTAATAAAAATTTCGTGAAACTTCCATTTATCTATATGAGTAAATTCGATTTGGCCAAGTTAATTACTTAATTTTATATGTATCTAATATATTATGAACGCAGTATTAAATGTTTTATCTTAGCCACAGATTTAAATGCCTAGTTGGCATACAAATAGATAATAAGATGAACTCACTGAGGGTCACCGCTCTGCTCTTGCTTAGTTTTGTAATAACAACAAACTGTGTTGGAAGAAAATTTAAGCGGCAAGAGAATACCGTAATCAAGGAGAACACTGTAACTACCGCAAATTACTTTGAAAATTATTACAATGGAAGTACAAGTGAAATTTTTAAGGAAGATGATCGCCAATCAAGAGCGTTCATAGGAGCGCCCAAGGTCTGTCCAAGTGGATATATCCTAATTGTGTCCATGTGTGTACCGAAGTAATTATCACAAGTTGTCTAAAACACTGTGTCAATCCATGGTGATCGTTTTTGCAATATATAAATTAAATTTGATTTTTCTTTTGTTTTTATTTTGTATAACCTTAAACTTTATAATCCAAAGAAGAAAAAAAAAAGTTAAAACAAAGTTAAAATTAATAAATAAAGTATATGCATTATATGTATAATATATTAATATTTTTCAAGTTATTATTTTTGAGTACTTACCTTGTTCTCTTATGCGAGGTGTCTGTGAGACTGGCAGATATACAGGTGTTTGCTGTAAGGCCGGTTAAGCTGAGACGTGTTAGGATTACGTGTGAGAAAAGTATATATGTCATGTTTTAAAGTACTTATGGCTAAGGCCTATTATACCATTGCGGAATATCTTGACGATGCCAATGTGTGGAGTTAATAGTGTTGATACTCAGGTAGACTAAAATATGACATACCTTCTATATGTTCTATTGTATTGTAAACTAATCGTTTTAAAAAAGAGCATATTATGTTGAGTTTCTTGCCGGTTTCTTCTGAACAGAAACTGCTTTCCGAACCGGTGGTAAGTTACGAACGTATTTATTTTTATGTAAAATTTTGACATTTCATAAGAACGCGCAAGCGTCTATTTGAATAAAAATATTTTTGAATTTGATTTTTTTGATTTTGCTAAAATCAGTGAAATAAGATAGTTTATTTGAAAAATCCATTTCGTAATCACGTATTTTGCATTTAAATACGCTTACTGAAAAAGGTTTTGTATTTTGACTTTAAATAATAAAATAACCAAGCATTTAAAAAGTTTTTAAAAAGTTTTTTAAAGGTATATAAATTCAAATTGCAATTTATATACCTTTAAAAAACTTTTTACACATCTCTCATCATGATTATCATGGCACCATCATTATCAAAATATTAAACAATCAGCGTTGCTCTTGCCACCATAGCAGCAGTAAATAATGGGAGAAAAAAAAGTGTTGCATAAAAGAATATTTACTTCTATGAAAAAAAAAAATTCCAATTTCTTCTTATGTGTTTTCAATGTTGCCTCCGGATAAAAATTTCATACATTTCTAATAGAAATCGGTACCCGTCGTATTTAGGCGATTTTTGTTTTATAATCTGGTTGGTTTTCATTACAAAGATAAGGCATATCCAAAATAATATTATTAATTCTTTTTACGACGACAATTTTTGGGTTAAGATTTCTTAATTATCTCAGTCCAGTCAAAGTCAAAGTCAAAACTGTCAAAATTTATTAATTCAATTATATTGTATATCTGTGAAGATATTTACCGTTTATATATATTGTAAAATTATATCAAATAATGTTTTTTTAAGGAAAACGGCATAAATGCGTATGAAGACATCTCGTACATATCACGTGCGTTCCATAAAAATCCTAGAAAAAAAAAACCTTTTTATCCTCAATAACTATAATTATAACCTTATAAGGAATATTAAGCATATGACCTTATTCGTAGATACTTGTCCCAAATTCCTAGATGTGGGTTCCATTTATTTCAAATGAAAATTTTAAATTCCAAAATATGATTTAATATATGTTATCATAAAAGGGAGGAATTAATGAACCATTTAACACATAAATGAGAATACGTGTATACATAAATAAACTTTACATGAACTCTTCGAAGTGAATGATCGTTTTTGTATAGACAGGGTGGATAACCGTTGATTTTATGTGGGTGTGTGTAGTGTACACTTCAAAATGCCATGTAAGTCGGAAGTGCTAGATTGTAAGCCAAAATTGACACTGAAAGCCTGCCATCCGTCCAATACAACAATAATACTACTACTAACCTTTTCGAGTACTATCAAAAACCTAGGCCTGATCATGGACAGCACGATGAACTGGTGAGCATATTGCACGTAAAGTATTTGGCGCCTTACGAACTGTGTACCGTTTGGAGAACTTTCTTCCTTTTAAGATCAAGCTTATGCTTGTACAGTCGCTTATTTTACCCATAATTGATTATGCGGATGTGTGTTATCCAGACGTAAATGAAGCTAGAGAGCCTTTACAATAATTAAATAAGAATATATATCTATATAGACATAGGCTATTATTTATATACATATTTTATGTATATCTGTCTTTCTGTCTGAATGTTACGCCTTCAGCCTATTTTATGCAGACGTAGTCGCGGGAAGCTGCTAGTATGATCATATTTCCTAATATCATACTCAGCTAAAATGGCTTACTCTTCAAAAAAGGCGTAAGTCTAGAATTTTGTTGGTTTTTTCTCAATTATTAATGATCGAGCTACCCTCTGCACAGGAGGCAGGTACACGCACACGCACAAGCACGCGCGTGTCGTCATCATCACTTCAAAATGTCCTTTGTAAAATCCCTTTTCATTTTACTCAAATCGCAGAAGTTGTAAAAAGCGTTATGATGTTTAAGAGAAAACAACAAAAAAAGTCAATCACCAACATTTCCATTCTTAACTTCCAACTTTTGTAATTTGATTTTAATGCGTGTTTTCTGTTACAGGAAACTTTCTCAACAATTGAAATAGGATCACCAATAAAATATTCTCTAACGACTTCTTGTTGCCTTCAGCAGTGAGATTTCTTTTTTGCTTAAGGAAAAGATAACAACTTGAAGATTATCGACTCTCACGTTTCATCTCATGGTGAAGCTCTTTTCTCAGTAAACTTAAAGCCCGTTTTATCTATTTTGAAACATTTAAAAGTTGTTGGTGCAATTAATTTCTTTAAAAACAATAAGTTATTGTTCTTATTTAGGATGATTTTTATGGATCTAGGAGTCTTCTTTAGGAAAGAAACCTGCTATTTATTTAAAGAAGGGCGCTCGCCTTTAATTCAATATACTCGAGCAACCTGAGTTCGATCCACAGTTATATACAACTCAGGTTATATACATATTCGTATAATATAATTAAATTTAAACATGTAATTGAAAATATATAACGTATATAAACAAAATAACAAAATTATATAACATTATTTAAGGATTCAAAATAGAATACATATACTATAATATTCATAAATACTTAATTCATATTAGTAAATACAATAACAATAGTAAATAATATACTGATAATAACTAGTGATAATTTTATTCTGCCCACTTACTTAGATATTGTTTTTTTGTCTTATTCTTAAAAGCATTGCATTCAGTGGTCTTCCTGATGTCATACGGAAGGTCATTCCAAAGGAGAATGGATTGAACGGGAAAAGAAGAGTACATAATACTAGAGTTGTAGGAGGGACATTGAAGCAAGAGATTATTAGAGCAGCGAAGGGTTCTATTATGATTGGAATAAAGATATTAGATAAAGGGAATCAATTAGGAAGGGGAATTGGGAGAGGTTAATATGGAATGAAGTGTGGTGAGCATGCGCAAACAACGGCGTTGACGAATGGGAAGCCAATTAAGTAGAGGCCGAAAAGCAGACACATGGTCATACTTACGAAGGTTAAAAACAAATCGAATGCAGATATTGAGAAGATATCATACATCACCATAATCGATCAAGGGAAGAATTAAGGACTGCATAAGTAAAACTTTTGTTTTGGACGGAAGAAATTTGCGTAGACGATAGAGACTTCGCAAAATACCGGTCAATTTTTGACTGACATGATTCGCGTGAGCATGCCAGCTTAAGTTAGTGTCGATATGTAATCCAAGATCTTTTACCACCGAGCTTGGTTGGATTACGGTGCCGTTGACTACAATTGGAGGTAAACCATTTGTTTGTACCTTGTTAAGCATTCGAAGACTACCAGTAATTATTGCTTGGCATTTGGCGGTATTAACAAAGAGACCAAATCTATCGGCCCACGATTTTATATGCTCTAGATCTCTGTTAATCCTATCCACTGCGATAGATAAGCAATCGACACCGGCCTGCGACAAAAGTTGTAAGTCATCATCGTATAGGTAATACGAGCATTGAAGATTTTGAGTGATAAGATTGATAAATAGAGAAAATAAAATAGGAGATAAAATGATGCCTTAAGGCACACCAGCAATTAAGTCATTACAACTAGAAGAGGTATGATGTATACAAACTAACTGCTGACGCCCTCGAAGATAACTTGAAAACCAATCCAACGCTGTGGGTGAGATCATAGAATAGGATAGGGTGGAGAGAAGGATATCGTGACTAATGAAATTAAATGCGTTAGAGAAATCCACTAAAACCAACACTGTGATTTTACTGGCCTCCATTCCCGCTCCTATATCACTGGTGACTTTATGTGGCGAGGAAATTTTACTATGCCGAGGCCTGAAACCAGATTGAAAAGGGCTTAAAAGGTTGTTGTTGAAGACAAACCCAAATAGTTGTTTGTGTACACAAGCTTCGAGTACTTTTGATAGAAAGGGAATGATGGAAATAGGTATAAAATAATGGGGCAAAGAAGAATTTGCAGTCTTAGGCAAGGGACAGGACATAAACTTTGCGCCAAATTAAGGGATAGAATCCAGAAATAAGGGATGAATTAATAATATGGGATATAATAGGAAAGAGATGATCTAGAATATATACAATCATAAGGCGGCACACTTGATCACATCTTACCATATTTGATAGAAACGATAATCTTCTTGACCTCATCCACAGCAACTGGAGAAAAATTAAAGGTGGCAATATTAGGACGAGGTAAGTTCTTTAATTCCTCGATAGTGAGAAGCTAGATTTGGATATCGATTGGAGTATGCAACACAAAGTAACGAATGATATCATCCAAATCAATTGAACTCCTATGATCATACTGTAATTTTTACCGATTCCGATAGCTCCAAGGAACTTCCAGATATCAGTGGGTGAAGAGGAAATTATGTTATCAAGGATATATCTTCGTTTAGCATCCCGTATCTTCTGGTTACACCGATTCCTAGTAACCTTATACAGTGTCCAATTGTCAACACAGCGAAACTTTTGTACTTACGAAAAACCCTATCCCTACGTCTCATCGCCATACGTATGCCTGTTGTAATCCATGGTGCTGGTGGACGCCTAAGTTTGACAGTTTTAATAGGGGCATGTACATTGTATAGACTTAGAATGGCACTATTAAATATTCTGACTTTTTCGTTCACCGTGTCGGCGGCAATCACATTATCCCACCTTAAATTTGAGGCATCTTTATGAAGTGTTCCTATGTCCATACGAGCAAAAGAAAGGATATTGAGGGTCTTAGGAATAGGTTTTGGAGGTTTAAGGAAGTAAGAGAGGTAAATAAGGTCATATTTCAAAACTGGAGACGAAATCGACAGACGGTGGGCAGTAGACTACACCAAAAACGAATTTAAATCCTTTTATACAAACTTCAAGAAAAATAAATTCCGAAG